GCAGGAATGAAAGCAGGCCTCAATCTCATCGTCATCTGTCCAAAAAAAAGTGTCAAACGTTGTATAGAGACCCAAAACAATGAAATATTGAACTGTGAATGCATCCATATATACACATATACAAACATATGAATATGTACACGCATCCATATATATATATATATGATTCATAAGAGTAGTGGAAGAGAAAGAATATTACTAGGGTTTGGTTTCTTGGTGAGGCCGGCGCAACGAGAAGTAACACAATCGATCTCGCATTTCAGCGCGGAAGATTGATCGTCATCTGCATGAATGGCTGAAGAAGGAGAAGGAGAAGAAGGACTCGGAGCATTCTCGTGATTCTTGCACTCCAATGCGCAAATTTTCGGACACTTGAAGAACGAAAAGGGCTGCCTTTTTATGCATCCACCCATACAATTTTTGTAACAATCCTCGAACGACGACGGCTTCGCTTCTGTCTCGGTGACAAGTGTCGTGCACCCGACGATCATCACCATCATAGTTCATGAGTAGCTTCAGATCAGAGAAACTATTACGGATATAATATACAGACCCATAACAGAAAAAAGGGCCCAGCTTAAAAGCTCATCTGATTATGTGAGTAACAAAATCAGTTTGGGAGAAAGATAGAGGCGAGAGGTTGAAGACGGAAATCTGTTGGAACAGATTTCTTCACGCTTTTTTCATTCTGTGTAAATTTGTTAGAAAGCTGTTAGGAATTTGTTATTTCTTCTGTATATAAAAACCCATGTACAGATTCATTTGATCAATAACAGAGAAATTTTTTTTTTCCACTGAAATGGTATCAGAGCTTTTTCTCTGATTTCCTCTTCTTTTTTTTTTCATCGATTCATTCGATCGTTTTCCCGGGAATCTTCTGTCTTTCGTTCTTTTTCATGGCGGAAGAACTTCCTGCGCTCATTCCCCCGGCTGCTGTGATTGCTCCGGCTCCTTTCACACCGACATTCGACATTCCCTACTATCTCTCCAACTCCGACAATGGTGGTGTGGCTCTGGTCACAAAACCCTTAACCGAAGCTGCTGATTTTCCCTCATGGATTCGGTCTTTTCGCATGGCCCTTGAAGGTCGGAACAAGCTCGGCTTTGTCGACGGTTCTCTACCTGAACCTGCTGAAGAAGATCCTCTCCATCGATTCTGGGTTCGCAACAATGCCATAGTTGCTGGTCGGATAATGAACTCAGTGGCTGAGCAACATTGCTCAGAGTCTCCTGTATGTCGAGACTGCTCAGGATATGTGGCTGTTCCTTGCCAAAAGCTACCAACAAAGCAATGCTCCGCGCAAATATCGCATCAAGCAAAAATTGCGCAACCTTCGTCAAGGTTCGTTGGATGTTGCTTCTTATTTTGCCTCCATCTTCGCTGTTTGGAAAGAATTTAGATCAGTTCGTGCCAATCACACCTGCACCTGTGGCCGGTGCACCTGCTCTCTTTCCAAACGATGGAACGATGAAGACGAAAGTGACTTCGTCATTGATTTTCTTTTTGGACTCAATGACGACTATGAGAATGTTCGTGGCCGTATTCTTGCCATGGATCCTCCTCCGGATGCTCAGACGACGTATAATCTTGTTATTCAACAAGAACAACAGCACTTGATCAAGTCTTCCCAGCCATCTGATGCTGTCATCTTCCAGGCAACAGCTTCGTCCCCACCAGAGGCTGTAACTGCTGTCACAGCTACGTCTTTTAAAGGCAAGCAACGTCCTCTTTGTTCACATTGCGGTCTTTACGGGCATACTGTGCAGTGCTGTTACAAGCTTCATGGTTACCCTCCGGGTTACCGAGCTCCGAAGTCTAGTGGACCCAATACCCCTCGGAATCCTACTCGCCAGCAGCAGTCTAAACAGCCAATTCACTTTGCCAATTTGGCTACGGACTCTGCTCCTCTGGTATGTTCTGATGTGGATAAGATGTCATTTGCTCAGATTCAGGATCTTTGTTCAAAGATTACCAATCGTCTCAAAAATTCTGGTGGGACTGTTACTGAGCAAGGTGCTCCTGATCCTGATGCTGGTACACCTCTGTTCCTCTCTGCTTTTGTTTGTCATGCTGCTTCTGTTACAGGAGATTTTCGCAATTCCTGGATTATGGACTCCGGAGCGTCTGCTCATGTTTGTTTTAACAAACATCTTTTCTCCGACCTGACGAACATCCTTCCAAGTACCGTCACGTTGCCCACTGGCCTGCAAATTTCAGTAACTCAGGCCGGCAGTGTACCTCTGAATGATCATTTGATGTTGTCAAACGTTCTTTATGTCCCGTCTTTCACCTTTAATATCATCAGTATCAGTTCCTTACTTCGCAGGACTGATCTCTCTTGTTTGTTTTCTTCTGGTTCTTGCTTCATTCAGGAACTTTCTCGGGGATCGACGATTGGGAGGGCTAAGCTTTTACATAATCTGTACTTTCTTGAGTCTGATTTTCAGCATGTTCTTTGCTCTTCTGTTTCTGTTAACTCAGTTGTTGTTGATCCTTCGCTTTGGCACTCTCGTCTTGGACACTTGTCTTATCAGAAACTTAAATCAATGACGACTTCCCTTTCTATTTCGTCGTTTAAAGTTCCTTCTCATTGCCGTATTTGTCACTTATCTAAACAACGTCGACTTCCTTTTCTATCTAATAATCATTTATCTAAATTCCCTTTTGATCTGATTCATATAGACATTTGAGGTCCCTTCTCTGTTGTTTCCCATGACGCATATAAATATTTTTTGACAATAGTCGATGATCACTCACGGGTAACTTGGGTATACATGCTACGGAGGAAAAGTGAGGTTCTGGAAGTTTTTCCACGATTCCTAAATCTGATCGAAACGCAGTTTTCGCAGAAAGTAAAGGCCGTTCGGTCGGACAATGCACCAGAATTGTCGTTTGATTCGTTATTTCACTCGAAGGGTATCGCCCATTATTTCTCTTGCGTGCAGACTCCTCAGCAGAATTCAGTTGTCGAGCGCAAGCACCAGCACATTTTGAACGTAGCTCGGGCTCTTCTGTTTCAAGGTAACGTTCCTCTGCATTTCTGTCTGATTGTATAAGGACGGCTGTTTTTTTTATTAATCGGACGTCAACCCCTCTTCTGTCTAACAAATCGCTGTATGAATTGCTGAAACGAAAGGCCCCTGATTACTCTTACCTTCGAGTTTTTGGATGTTTGGCATATGCTTCCACACTCGTCTCAGAGAGGCATAAGTTCTCGGCGAGAGCTCGGGCAACGGTGTTCCTTGGCTATCCGTCAGGCTACAAAGGTTACAAGCTCCTTGACCTTGAATCTAATTCTATCCTTATCTCTCGAAATGTCGAGTTTCACGAAAATATCTTTCCATTTCAATCTGATATCTCCATCGTCCCTGATAGTGTTTTTCCAGAAACCATCCTGCCACTTCCGATTTATTCTTCGCCTGAACCTCATATTATTTCACCACCTAGCCCACCTTCCATTTCTGTTTTAAATCCATTACCCAGCCCATCTGACAAAGGCCCAATACCAAGCTCATCAGATTTAAGCCCATTACTCAGCCCATCTGATTCTGTTCCAGCTCACATTCCTCAGCGTAACTCATCTTCATCTCCTTCCAATCGACCAAGCGTTCTGCCAAACCACCCTCTTACCTAAAAGACTACCATTGTTTCCTCTTGAACAATGGCTTCTCATCTGAAAATTTTAACTCTGTCTACCCAATTTCTTCGGTTTTATCTTATTCTCGACTCTCAGGCCCGTATCGCTCTTTCATCCTTAATTCATCTCTTTTTTCCGAACCTAAATCCTTTAAGGATGCTGTAACTGTTGCGGCTTGGCGGAACGCTATGGACACGGAGCTCAACGCTTTGGCAGAGAACAGAACATGGTCCATCGTTTCCTTACCCCCTGGTAAGCGAACCATAGGGTATCGTTGGGTATACCGAATAAAACGAAAATCAGATGGATCTGTTGATCGCTTTAAGGCGAGACTGGTTGCCAAGGGTTTCACACAGCAGGAAGGCGTGGATTTTCTTGACACTTTTTCTCCGGTTGCGAAGCTCGTCACAGTTAAACTCATCCTTGCGCTTGCAGCCATCAAGAACTGGCCTCTGTATCAACTGGATGTGACGAACGCTTTTCTTCATGGCACACTGGATGAAGAAATTTATATGTCCTTACCTCCCGGGTTTACTCCTGCTAATGGCACATCTCTGCCTCCGAATCCGGTATGTCGTCTGCATAAATCTCTTTACGGTTTACGTCAAGCCTCAAGGCAATGGTATCTCACCTTTGCTAAAGTACTGCTTGCTGCCGGATTTGTTCAGTCTCAGGCTGACCATACACTTTTCGTCCGCTCTTCTGGCAATTCGTTTGTTGCCTTATTGGTTTATGTAGATGATATCATCATTACTGGGAATGATGCTGCTGGTATACAGAATCTTAAATCCTTGCTTCATCAGCAATTTCATGTCAAGGATCTTGGAAAATTGCAGTTTTTTCTGGTTTAGAAATTGCTCGATCTCGTCAAGGAATCTCTGTTGGGCTGCGGAAATATTGTCTGGAGCTAGTAGAGGATGCTGGATTGCTTGGTTCAAAGTCAGCCTCTACTCCTTTAGATCCCAACACACGCTTGTGGAAAGACGCAGGGGAACCTCTGTCTGATATTACGAGTTATCGCAGGCTCATTGGAAGACTGTTGTATTTGACGATCACCCGGCCTGATATCTCGTTTGCTGTGCACAAGCTAAGTCAATACTTATCTTGCCCGACTTCTGACCATCTTAAGGCTGCTCAACGTGTAGTTCGCTATCTGAAAGGTAACCCTGGACAAGGTCTCTTTTACTCAGCAGATTCGGCAATTTGTTTGAAAGCCTTTGCAGATGCGGATTGGGCATCTTGCCCAGACTCTCGGCGCTCGACCTCTGGCTTCTGCGTTTTTCTCGGAGATTCCTTAATCTCTTGGAAAGCAAAGAAGCAGTCAACCGTCTCTCGGAGCAGCACAGAGGCTGAGTACAGATCTTTGGCAAATGTCACATGTGAACTAGTTTGGCTGCAACATTTACTGGATGATTTGCACGTCAAGGTCTCTTGCTCAGCTGCTCTATTTTGCGATAATAAGTCAGCTATTTACATTGCTTCAAATCCGGTATTTCACGAGCGTACCAAGCACATTGATATCGACTGCCATCTTGTGCGGGAAAAACTGAAGTCTGGCTTTCTTCGAATGCTGCATGTCTCTTCTCATCACCAGCTTGCGGATCTTTTCACGAAACAGATGCAGCCTGCCTTGTTCTCTGCTCTCTTGCAGAAACTTAATGTCTCAAGTCTCTTTCTTCCGTCCGTGACTTGAGGGGGGCGTATTACGGATATAATATACAGGCCCATAACAGGAAAAGGGCCCAGCTTAAAAGCCCATCTGATTATGTGAGTAACAAAATCAGTTTGGGAGAGAGATAGAGGCGAGAGGTTGAAGACGGAAATCTGTTCCAACAGATTTCTTCACGCTTTTTCATTCTGTGTAAATTTGTTAGAAAGCTGTTAGGAATTTATTATTTCTTCTGTATATAAAAACCTATGTACAGATTCATTTGATCAATAATAGAGAAAAAAAATTTTCCACTAAAAAAACAAATCCATGAGATCATCATATAGATTGATAGGGTCTTGTTTTTGGTGTTAATATGTGAGATATCGAGCCATTGTTTAAAGATTTGGTAAGTAAAATCTTTCATGGATTCGTTCCCAACAAAAAAAAAAATCTTTCATGGAGATTACTTACTCTAATTGGAAAAGCCTGAAATCCAAGCAAACTTTTCAGAAACAGGAATTTGTTTTATTCGAGATTTACAAAAAAAAATTCCCTACCATATATGACCATACACATGCACAGCATGACTAGGTTTATTAGAAAAACGAATGGGCCTGTATGGGCCGACAGGGCCGAACCTAGCATGTTTAACATATGGGAATATTTTGGTCAATTAACTAGCATTCCGCGTTTCGATACGCCCAAGACATGCCTTAGCCGGCGAGGACTATTATTTCCAAAGTTTGGGAAGTCGAGATAAATTCCCCTGCCCCGCAGCCCACTGATATTCACATAGAACATCGACAAGCAAACATATATTTATATAGATAATCGAAACTGGACCGAACATCGTGTGGCTTACACACGTTGAGTGCAGGGACGCACCTTAAGTAAACCGCATAGGATAATACCATCTCCAAAGGTTATTATAATAATTTTCGAGAATCTCCGTCAACAAGAGCGAACCATAGGAACTACCGAACTAGCAATCAGATTTTTCGTCGGAGCATCGGCGGAATCTGCTTCTGAAGCTTTTCCTCCCGCCGGAGCGAGTCGTAACTCAGCGTCCGAGTTGAGCCACCATGGGCCTGGTGGACATGGATTCCATGGCTGCCTCGATTGGCGTCTCCGTCCCAGTCCTCCGCTTCCTCCTCTGCTTCGTCGCGACGATCCCCGTCTCGTTCATGTGGCGACTCGTCCCGAGTCGACTCGGAAAGCACATCTATTCGGCTGCGTCGGGTGCTTTCCTCTCTTACCTCTCCTTCGGCTTCTCCTCGAACCTCCATTTCCTCGTCCCGATGATGTTAGGATACGCTTCCATGGCGATTTATCGACCCAGGTGTGGCATCATCACGTTCTTTCTAGGGTTTGGTTACCTCATTGGATGGTAAATTTTCTTTTCTTCTCCAAAAAATTCGACTTTTTTTTTAATGTTTGGATCAGTAATGAAGTTGTTCTTCCTGTTGATTGAAATGTGGGTTGATTTGATTATTGGGGCAGTCATGTCTATTACATGAGTGGGGATGCTTGGAAAGAAGGAGGAATCGACGCTACTGGTACTCAGAATTTCCATAATGTTGTTTAACATTTTTAGGTGCTTTGCTGTGATGATTTTTTTATGTGGTCTCGGATGAACTGAAATTACTTGTGGATTTTGTATAATCAAGTGTTGTGATTTCAAATTGAGTTGGTTCAGCTTTACTAAGTACTTAAACTCGATTCACTCTTGTTCTTGGGAGATTGAGATGAGTTTGATTTGGCAGGAATACATTGTTGGATTGCAGATCTGGTTAATGGAAACATGATATGCCCGTTTACAAGCTCTCGATAAAAGTCCCTGATCTTTCCAATTGTGTTTTTACGCTTAATATTGTATCAAATTCTGTGTAGTTCTTACATATAAGAGTAGAAAAGTTCAAAGTTGAGTTGGTCAGCTTCGCTAGTAGAAGGTTGCTTGTGTTCTTGGACGTGGCAATGGATATGGTTGATACAAAGACAATGTTGAATCATAGATCTGGGTAATGTTGAATCCCACTTGCTCCTGTTTGAGTTCATAACAAATGGAATTCCATGTTCCTTTTATATGTTTGTGTTCCATAGCCTTTGTGAGGAAAAGTATCTATTTTTCCTTTCACGGTGATTGCAATCATCTTTGATTTGGCCTTTTTTTTTAATGTTTTAGGAGCCTTGATGGTGTTAGTGCTGAAAGTTATTTCGTGTGCAATAAATTACAACGATGGGATGTTGGAGGAGGAAGGTTTGCGTGAGGCTCAGAAGAAAAACCGTTTGATTCAGATGCCTTCACTTATTGAGTACTTTGGCTACTGCCTCTGCTGTGGCAGGCACTTTGCTGGCCCGGGTTAGATGAAGAA